TCGAGAGCGCCGGGGCGTGCGACTGCGGCTGCGCGACCGCTTCGGTTTGGAATGGATGTATGAATACGCCTTCCTCGAACGTGAACGAGAGCGCGAGTGCAAGGACGACGACGACGATGACGAGGAAGAAGGGAGTGAGCTATTGGTCGAATATGAATATGAGCGCCTTCGAGTGTGATAACGCATCGAGCTGCGGGCATATGACTGGACTGGTATGAAATCATCTTTCGAATGTGTGTACGAGCCTGTTCGAGTCTGCGAGCGCGAGCGTGAACGAGGATGCGAGGGCGACCGGCCTCGGCCACGTGGCGACCTCGACTGTGGCTGCGCGTGCGGTGAGCTACGAGAGTGCTCGACTGACGAGCAACAAGACTGAACAGGTGGTGGGTCGGGTACTGCTGGCTCGAGCTGGAGAGTAGGTAGGGACTGAGTAGACACGATGCTCGTCTGAGCGGGTATGTGCGATGGTGCGTTGAACACGCTTCGAGAGGGTGCGGCTGTGAGTGAAAGCGAGCGAGCGGGCGATGAGCCCATACGAGCCTCGAACTGGCTTGTCAATGAAGACCAGTTGGCGAGACGGTCTCGTAGAGTCCGTCCGGCAACTTCTCGCGGGATTTCCAGTCCTGTAGGTAGAACAACGCGACCGTTTACAAGTAGACACTTTCCCGAAGCTAAATATGACTTGAATGAATGGCAACCTGCCCGAATATGTCTCGAAAGTCCGCAGAAGAAGCAGAACGAGTACGATCGGCGGGGGGAATGATTGTCTGAGGCGCGCGATGGCTGCGCGCGTGAACTGTTGGCCTCGCTGCACTTCCAGACGCCATTTCCGAGTGCGAGAACCTGTTTAACTGAAGCCATAAGGCTAGACACGGTAACCCTTCGACTTGGCGAGTCAAGATACTTGAGTACCTCGCGTCTGAACTTGGGCGGGAACCCACTAAAAAAGCCGAAGCTACATAGGATGATGCACTGTAAAAAGTAAAATCACTAAAAATCAGTGTCTGTGACACTGAAATGGACAAATTCAGCGTCCGTGACACTGAAGTTGTGGACGCATCTTTTCAGTGTCATTGGTCTGACAATGATTTTAAGTGTCAGTGTAAATTGCGTATGTGATTTTCAACATCAGTCAAGAAAATCAGTGTCGTAGCATTGAAAAACAGTGTCAAGTGTAAAAAAGCTCGTCTACATCTTCCATCTCACTCTCATTCTCCTCCGGGGTGCCCTCCCATGTCCCCATATCTGCAAAACCTCGTGCGGACGCTGCTGACATTCGATCAATGATACCCCACCATTTACCTACAGGGACCAGGCCCACCACAGCCTTTAAGCTTTGCACGTCGGTGACAATTGTTGCATGGCAGGACAACAAGTAAGTATTCTCATTCGCAGCATCCTTTCCTTTGGTATTCCATGGTGTGATAAGAGCAAGGACAAGTGTCTTGCCACTCAGAGAGGCGAAGAATTTGTTTGGTGGCAGGGTGAGCACAAATATCTTCTCCAGATCACCATACCTGATAACTCGAACCAAATGACGATTACGTGCCTTGAGAATTACTTTGTACTGGTCACATATGATGTCATTAAACTGACTGTGTAGTATTAGTGATATCGAGCGCACCTTGATGTAGCAGTTCCTCCTCGCTGGAGCTGCTGGGCTACATGAGACAGCTGCTGTCTGGAAGAAATCACCACCTCCATGTATCTGAAGCTTTCTGGCAAATAGGGTTGGGAGTGGCAAATGGATTTTCACCTCACTCTCTTGCTTTCCTAATACCTGAGCCACATATTGAGCAATCTTTTGCTGAAGTGAAGGATCCTGCTGAGTGACCCTCTTGAATGGAGGGCGAATGATATGGTTGGGGTCTGATGTTGGCAGCACTCAGATATGTGTCATGAAACCAGAAAAGATGGGTACTTACATCCCTCAAACACACATTCAAATACTGTTGGTCCATCATCTTCACAGTCATCCCACAAAGTGAGTTCAGCCAAAACATCATAGTGCACAGAGAGTTGCTCGAGTATGACAGAGTGTAGCAATGTGTTGTTCAAGTTGCTCCATGGCTGGTGTTGGGAATGCATCGATTGCTGCAATGTCCCACAATACCTCTCCTTGAAGAAGCTCCACATTGTCCAGGCTGGACCACAGTAATGAATTCCCTCGGCAATGTGAAGTAGACTGTGGACAGTGAGTGTGCATGCTGGCAGACGTTCGATGCAGTACTGATAATAATACCTGACAAACAAAAAATAGCTTTGATGAGTATTGCTGAAATGCTTGGCATCGAAGGGAAAAAATGAAACACTAACTTCTCGTATTTTTGTACCCATTTTTGTAACCATACTTTGATGTTGCCCACTTCTTCCTCCATTGTCACACACCAAAGGTGTTTGGTGAGGTGGACATGGATGTAGCTGATGAATGGAGGTGAAGACCATAGCCCTCATGCAAAGAATGACAGCCAGCAATGTCAGCAGTCATCCCTCGCACAAGAACAGGTTGTCAATGCCAAAGAAAAAGGAGGAGGCGAGTTAAGTGCCAATAAAATTCTTAAGCGCCCGTGTACGGCATTCCGGTTTTCAATGTATCTCCACCAATTCTGCAGACACCGAAACCATTCCCACAATCGCTTGTAGTGCTCAGCCACACGATCCTACCTTCCAAGATTGGACAGGATTTGCACACTCCACACATTTCTACAGCACTCCCTCCAAAAGACGCTCATTTCGCTAATTCTTCTGATATGGCTGCCTCCACATCAGTCATTTCGCTTGTCCCCTTTGCTAGGGACCATGGCTACATATATCTACCAGGAGTTCCTACCAGCTTCCATCCTGAAGCGTCCTGGTACATCCCACCCTCGTCTGCCCCCTCTCAGCCCATCCAGCTTGGACAGCATGTTCTTTTTGTCAGTATGACCTCCAGGAGGATGTTCTTTGGTCGCCTCAGGTCTGTCATTCGCTTGGAAAGGTCTTATGTGGTTGTTTCAGTCTCTCCAGTCCAAGAAGCATATGGATCCTTCCTCCCTGCCCCCTGCAACGTCTTCATACCAGTCTTGTTCATCATTCTTCCAAAATTGCGACAGCTACAGTATAATCTACTGTTCTCCACTCTCCCTGATCGCATCCATGACGAGTATGATGCACATCTTGCCTCCTTGTTGCAAGATACAGCAGAAGACGCTCCCCCTTCATCCTCTCTTCCAACAGAGCCTCATTCATGAAGTTTTTATTTGCTTCACTGAGAGGATGGTTTGGGGGGGAAAGTTGCGATCCCCTATGCTCCTGTCACCCCACAGACCCCCAAGGCTTGACCCCTGTTGACATCTGACTCACCCTGTCCACTTTTGGATGTACTATATCGGCATCAGATCAGTGCTGCCTCTCTGTCATCCCACTTTGGCCTAGAAGCGATCTCTTCAAGATGTGACATGCACAGCCTCCCCCTGATGTGATTCCAGTGCACTTTCTTGGTTCCTGACATTGCTTGACTCATACTTTGACATTCTGACTGTCTTTGACTCACCTATTGCCAATACTTACCAATCTTTTGACTTTGCTTACTGATTCTTTGCCTTTTGGCTTACTTATCCTTACCAATGCTTACCAATGCTTTCCAAGATGATTACCCATCGCTTACATTCCTTACTCATCAGTTACCAATTGCTTACCAAGTGTTTACACCTTGTTTTCCATAGGCAATGCCCCTGTACTGTATATAAGTCACTGTACTTAGGTAGCAAAAAAAAGACATCAGAGAGCCCCTCTTGCTTGCAATTTATCATCTCTCAGTAAATCATTCATCAGCTTCGATAGTTGAGACTTTATTAAGGGTCTAGCTATCATCTACTTTGCTTATCATCATCTATCATCCATATACTTCGCTCCAAGCCCTCCCTGAGCTCAGTACAGCTTAGGACATCGAATTAAGTCACCATCCATCCTTCTGTAGGCTGACAGCAGTCTACCTTATCGCTTTCCATCACATTCTTGCTCCCTCTTCGTCAGGAGCACCCCCAACCCTCAGCACTCATCTTTGAGTGTTGTAGCTTGCAAAAAACCCTCCCAAAGAACAGGTTCTACCATCTAGGTACTGCATAGGGACACCACCACTCGCTTTCATTGTCTTTTGTGTTGGTTTTGGTTGGTTTTCACCACTGAACCTCACCTTGACTCACACCAACATGCACATTTGGTCCTGAAAGTGGGACTAACTGACATTGGCCTATAGACCCTGATGGTGGATAGGCTGACATGTTGGAGGGAGGTTGGCCAACCTCACTGGGGGATGGACTCACACCCTGGAAGTGGTGTCGGCCAACCTCACTGGGGGATGGACTCACACCCTGGAAGTGGTGTCCGCCAACCTCACTGGGTGATGGACCCACACCCTGGAAGTGGTGTTGGCCGACCTCACTGGGGGATGGAACCACACCCTGGAAGTGGTGTTGGCCAACCTCACTGGGGGATGGACCCACACCCTGGAAGTGGTGTTGGCCAACCTCACTGGGGGATGGACTCACACCCTGGAAGTGGTGTCAGCTGACCTCACTGGGGGATGGAACCACACCCTGGAAGTGGTGTCAGCTGACCTCACTGGGGGATGGACCCACACCCTGGAAGTGGTGTCAGCTGACCTCACTGGGGGATGGACTCACACCCTGGAAGTGGTGTCAGCCAATTTCACTGGGGGATGGACACAGACCTCACCACCTGGAAGTAGGGTTGGCCAAACCCTGAAAATTCCCTTGGCATAATCAATTGCTTGTCAATTTAGATGTTACCAGAAGTATTGACTCTGATGACACTTCCAGATGGACATACCCCCTGAGACCAGTGTTGGCCAACCTCACTGGGGGGTGGCCTTACCCCCTGAATCCATGGCCATTCTTCACCTCCAGGTGATGTCAGTGATCTCACAGGGTTTGAAACTTGCAATGAGCATGGGTAGCCATATATAGGGATCCTTTTGATTCACACCATCTACAGTTTATTTATAGACCAAGACCCAGAGCTCTCTTGGTTGGTTGACAAGCTCTAGTTGATTTCTTGCTTGCCTCTTCACCCTCCTTTGCCATCTTCTGATCAACATCCCCACTGCCTCCCCTTTTTCTTTTCCTCACATCCTTTCTTGTATTCCAGGATTCCTTCATGCCACCCCCCTGGGTGGGACAGGAATCCCCTGCACTGACCCCAGTTGTTTCCTGTGCACCAATCCCTCTGCTTGAGCCACCAGAATTCTGCTGCAGTCTTGCAACTACCAGCCCCACTGCACCCATAACATCTTCCCCCTTGTGGATATCAAGACCTGAGCCTAGCAAAAAGCCCAGATTAGCAGCTTCAGGGTCATCTGATTCTATGTCCTGTGCTCTTTTGCACTCCCTCCACAACAAACCAAATCCCAGTACAATGGTAAGACCTTTCTGGGTGGATGCAAACTTTTCACTTTGCAATTGATACAGTGCCTTCCAGAAGGAATCCCCATTGCCATGCATCTCCTGGGGCAAATACTGGGCACTCCAGGCCCAAGATGCCCAGACAGGCAGGTTGACTGGTCCAGCATCAGGTTCCTT